GAGCATGCGAAAGAAATCTAGTCTGTGACCCAACCTATATACATCTCTGCTCAATACCTGTTCCCCGTTGCCACTAGCAACCTTAGCCTCAAACATTGCGATCTGATTCAATCCAACATCCCTTCCCTTACCCACTTGTATATATTCATGGTGGGTAACATTGCCACCTCGCAAGGTACAGTTGAATCCAGCAAATATATCCTCGCTTATATTAATCACCCTGGAAGCCTTGCTGATGCCACCTCTGGACAAGAACCAAAACCTATCAAAGACATCTGGATGACCATAGTGCATCCGTACCTTGAGAGGATTGGCAAGAACGCGTTGCCCCAGAGTCACAAAACTCGTCTCCTGGGCAGACATGAACCAAGCAAGAGATGACACAGAACCAGTAAAGATATTTTCACGAACTCCAAGAATGGTGGGCTTCCTAATACCATAATTCTCCTTGAATTCCTCCAATAGATTACGCATCTTAAGTGCCTCTTCAAAGTTATTGTCTTGATTCATGTCTATGGTCTGAACTGCATCACCTCTGGTGAAGATAATGGCATGGTTTTGATTCTCCGGCTTACCCTCCCCAAGTTTCAGGGGACCAGGCAACTTTATGCGGTAGATTTCCACTTCTTTCTTCAATTGTTGATCATACTTCACTAGGACAGAATAGTATTCTACTTCATTTCTTCCCAAGTAAACCTCATCCACATAAGCAATTCGGAGGGCCTCATTATTCTTCATCAAATTTAGGATCTCCTCAGCACGTGGATCACCCTTCTTCTTCTGAGAACCATACACCTGGCAGGTCACCACATAAGTGAATTTCATTAGAGCAGCACCAAACTCATCTCCTTTAAAAAGAAGGGTGACACTGCTACTCGTTCTGTGAATATTTTGAGGAGTTCGTAACATGCCAGAGTCTATACCGTTCAAGTGATTATTTTGGTTCAATGAACCAAGTGAAGCAATTTCTTGCGAGCCGTGCCTTATATCAACCTCTGAAGCAGAATCAAGGAAGGAAAGCATCTGGAGAGCCTTGTAATAATACATCATGCCTCTTACAGTACGGGACAGAGTCTGCCCCCTATACGATGCCCAAAGGCGAATCTCCCTTGCTTTAGTGTTCCATAACTCATTCTCATCCCGCATTCCTTCTGTATGCATCCTCTCCATGAAGTTCGCCCACTCATCTTCATAAATCCTCTGCAGATAAAATATGGTGGATACTCCATCTTCATTTGGACTCCTAAGACTTTCTTTGCCAAACAGAACTTCCTCATCATAGTAAGGGGTCAAGACACTAAAAGCCATCATCTTCTCTACCTGGGGAGCTCGGGGCATGTTCATAAAAACAGAGTTACTGAAGAAGGCGATACGCCGTCTCGCTTCAATATTTCTTGGGACATTGTGCATTGAATCTCTGGAAGTAAGAATTGTTTGCAAACGGCGCAGCTGCCTATAGAAGAAAGCATCTTGTTTATCAGGAAACTCGATCGCGTCTTCGAAAAGAAACCCGTGATTGGTATTTGAAGGAGCAAGACTTGCCTGCATCAGTTGTTCTGTGCTCTTCTTCACCCTTGGAAATTCCCGAACTGAAAGCTCGTACAAAGCCTGTAATACATTGACCATATCACGCAAATCTGGCTCTGGCCTGAGCAAAAGCTCAATAAGAGACACCAGCTTTTCATGAATGCGTGGCAAGAGGGTCATCTTGTAGGCTTTAGTAAACTTTTCAAAGTGAATGCAATCATCAATGTCATGGAAAAGCGCAGTGACTATTGAATGCTCTTCAGTGTCGTANCTGTCGTATTTAATAATCTTTAATAGCAAGTATTTGATGCTATCATAAGCCTCAATCACTGCACACCTCCTATACTCATTCTTGCCTATCTTAAACCAAACCCATCTATCAGGTGCATCTGCCAGCTCGCTTGCATGGCTGAGAGCAAGAAGTAACTCGTTGCACAAGAGAAAACACGGCCAACGAATAACCTTAATATCCCAACAGTTTGGTGGCAACTCCATCAGCTCCAGCTCACGATCACTAACAAGGTCTTCCTCCCTCATAGTTATGATAATCTCATTCCATATTAAGGCAAACCTAGTTGCTTCCACCTGGCTCGATTCAATCTTCTTGTACGGCTGTCCAAGGCCATATCTTAACTTTGTCCGATGTATTGCATTCCGAAGCTTGCGAACCAGGGTGTCCTTAGCATCTATACTCTCATTCTCGGGCATCAGATTGAACTGCAATGCAGTTGCAAAGAACTGGAATCTGAGTCTGAGCTGTTTAATGTTCCTAATTTCGCCTATATGCGAGAACAACCCAATTGTTGCTCCTGCAATGGAGGAATATATAGTGTACCAGATCTGCAGGTCCACTAGATAAATTAGAACAACTGGAATCCACATCAAAACAGCTGCTAGCTCATTCGTGCTACCAAAAAATTCATGCCACTTGTACTTCTTAACTTTCATATTCAAAAGAGCTCGTGTAGGATCAAGCAGCGGCCTTATTTGAAAGAAATAGCTGAAGATAAATTTGGAAGCCAATACTGCAATCCAGAACAACGTGTACTTTATGTTATTAATAAGCCCTTCTCTGAGCCCGCGACCCACAAAAATCCTAGTGTGGAACCACCATGTTATCAAATAAAAAATTGGCCAGTCGGTGTTTTCAATCACATTTCGTATCCATGGGAGAATGAAAAGAACCAGAGCTAACACCTCCGGGATGATGAACACCAGAGCAGCCTTAAGAAATGTCAAGATCCTTTGATTCGCCTCATACGACCACCTCCTATCAGAATTCTTCTGGCTCCAAATCATTCCATAGAACACCCCAAACACGACTGCCCATGTCACAGCAACTACACTTTTCAAGACCATTCTCACACCTATCCACATTGTATCCCTGGTAACTAAACTATACTGAGTCCCGGCATCAAGTATTGACTGAATAAACCTCAAAACAGCCCAAGTTATGAAGAGAGTAAGCAACTGCACTTGCACATCCCTCCTTTCCAAAGCCTGCCACGGATACTGTGTACCTTGCCACGCAACAATAACAGCAGCCTGAAAGAACAATATCAACAACACCCATAACCTATCAAAGCTCCTAAAAATATTCCAAAAAGTCCTCTGCTCCACATAACCTGTCTTACCAACTCTCCTGCCTACACTAGTATCCAGAAAACCACATGACAAGTCAAGAGGCCATTTCAGCCTCTTAAAACACCTCCTACTCCAAAAGTACTCGTTTATATCATCATAATTCCTCCAAGCTGAATGAGGGGCAGTGCCATTTCTACTCCTCTCAACTTCACCTTTAATCGTCGTATAAATAGGAGTGACAACTTGTTCCAAGAAACCAAACTGCCTACAAGTAAAAGGAACAAAAGGGGCTCCAGTACTCTCATCAATGTGACCATCAAGAATGTAATTCAGTTCCATGGCCATATGGTGATATATATAACATAAGCATTCAGGAGCAAAACGAAGATTAGCAGCCTCACCCCAAATCAATAAGTAAAGACATACATACAAGAGCTCACGGCGAGAAAGTTCTGGACTTTGGCGTCTTGGCAAGCGAAGTTGAGACCTTTTACCAAGATATGAACACCATTTTGTGTAGTTTGTCAAGAGCTTCTGGCGGAACTGGCGGAGGACACCGTAGTCAAGGCGGTCCGGGGCGGCAGGTGGTGGTTGAAGGCGCATTTGAGAGTTAGCCAAATGGAGAACCAAGTGTTCCC